TCCACTAGTTCCTGTCCATTTTACACGAGATTATTGATTATTCACTATCTCACACTTATTACGTCATGCCAACTTCTGTCTCCTTTCTAACTTACAGTTAGTCATCCCTTCTCCGTTACACCTTACATTATGTAATACAATTTTTCAAGGACAAAGTTCACCGGTATCTGATTGGTCTAAAGATTTCTTTGTTTAATATAATTACACAGTTTTTGTTCAGCGAAGAAATTTCTTTTCAACGACTTCATTTTCAAGCTGTACAGTCATATTTATATTACAGAAAAGGTTACTAAGTGGCACTAATTGTGTGAAAAACGATAATTAAAACATCTTCATTCTTATCGTAATCGTACTCCTAATTATTTAAAATTTTAGACAACACTTGACATTTTTAAAACATTTTTGATTTCAATTCACTTGTCATTGGTTTCGAACTTTATAACTTCTCCTCAGCCGAATAGGGTGGGCTAGTGCCCTTAGGGACTATGCTGCCTAAATTTTCTTAGGGAAGCTAGGACTTAGGGAAGCTATATATCAATGGATAGCTCTCGACGAGATCTACCCATTGGTACCGGTATCGCACCTTATAGCTTCTCCTCAGCCGAATAGGGAATTTTTTCAAAGGCTACAGGGGAAACCTGTTTCTAGGCCTAGAGTTCATGCCGCTGGCTGTTCTCTTGACATTTTTAGCTCCGCGACCTCAGGTTGTATGCCGTTGTGTATGTAGCTAGGGGGCATTACCAACCATAGGGCAGCAGGGGGGCAGAGACTGCTAGGCAGGAAAATCCTCGTATTTTTCTTAGGAATAGCTTTTACCCTCTGATTTATATACCATTGGATTCCTCTCGACGAGACGAATCGATTGGTACCTGTCTCGTCCCTGTAGGACTTACGGTTGCGGGATATGGATTTTTAAAGTTTTGCAGGTTTTCCCCATTTTGCCTTTGTATAGCAATATACAGGGTATTTTTAGCCAATGAGAATTAAGCTTTTGTTTATTAGGCGTAGATAGGCATTTTGTTTTAATTGACGATGCGCGCGAAGGCGCAGCTGAAATTGTGGCATGGCGTGGGACGGATGGCTGGTTTTCTACGGCCAGCCCCTGTCACTTGGAGGCCTATGATGGCTTCCAATCCTCATCAAATGGAATTATTTGGTAAGTTTATTTTATTTTTATATTATTTTTATTAGTAGTTTTCATGTTTAGGCTAGGTTTTAGCTTCATGTTTACTATGCTGGGGCATTTAGGGACCATACGGTCATAGTTTGTTTAGGGATGCTCTGGCATAGGAAAGCTATATATCAATCGATAGCTCTCGACGAGACCTATCCTTTGACATTGGTTTCGACCCTTGTAGCCTCTCCTCAGCCTTCCTCAGGATCTTTGATATCTGGGCTTGCGCCCTCTGGGGTTATGCTGCCAAAATTTTTCCAGGGAGGCTAGGACTTAGGTGAAGTTATATATCAATCGATGGCTCTCACAGCGACCTATCCTTTGTCATTGGTTTCGAACTTTATAACTTCTCCTCAGCCGAATAGGGTGGGCTAGTGCCCTTAGGGACTATGCTGCCTAAATTTTCTTAGGGAGGCTAGGACTTAGGGAAGCTATATATCAATGGATAGCTCTCGACGAGATCTACCCATTGGTACCGGTATCGCACCTTATAGCTTCTCCTCAGCCGAATAGGGAATTTTTTCAAAGGCTACAGGGGAAACCTGTTTCTAGGCCTAGAGTTCATGCCGCTGGCTGTTCTCTTGACATTTTTAGCTCCGCGACCTCAGGTTGTATGCCGTTGTGTATGTAGCTAGGGGGCATTACCAACCATAGGGCAGCAGGGGGCAGAGACTGCTAGGCAGGAAAATCCTCGTATTTTTCTTAGGAATAGCTTTTACCCTCTGATTTATATACCATTGGATTCCTCTCGACGAGACGAATCGATTGGTACCTGTCTCGTCCCTGTAGGACTTACGGTTGCGGAGCTATGGCTTCTTTAAGTTCAGCAGTTATCCTCCTATTTTAGCGTTTCTTAGGGTGAACATGCTCGTTCATTTCATCCACGATGTTATCGGCAACGGGGAGCTGAAACTTGACGATCGCTTGACAGCAGGTATCATCACTTCACCGCCTCACCGATACATCATGGTAACGGAATAGTAAGGTAAGATTAGTTGTAGTTCTCTCTCTCATCCACTAGGGATACAAAGCACATGGTAGCGAGGTTAGGAAATTTAACCGGTTCGACATGAACGGGTACGGTTTCGTACTTTTGGAAAATGGCCCAAGGCTACACCCCCCGAGGTGCCATTTTAAGATATATGAACGGGTGTAAATCATTGGTCCGAGGAAGTAGTCGTATTGCCGGGGCAGTAGGGGATGTGGCGGCAGTAAGGTGTTCTCCTCGGGCGACCAGCATGAGTTCAGGCCGTGGTACACGGTTCTGGGCGCGCCCCATGCTGCCTTTCTCGGAAAGGGGGGGTTAGAAAAGGTCGGCCCCAAAAAATGTGCATCCCACTCTCACCCAGAGGCATACCGCGGCCCCGGTGAGTGTACCAACGCGGTCGAAACCAAACTTTGCCCGCTCAAAATGATAAGGAAACCGAGGCTGACCGGCAGCTTAACCGGACTTCTACTGATATGACTGTGGCGACGGTATCAGTAGGAGATAACTTGGGTCGTCACACCGTTCCTAGCGTAGCTCCGTTGATAGTAGCAGCGGGTGCCAACCAAATTTGTCAAACCTCACAACCTACTGATACATTGGCGACGGTATCAGTGGGGGCTGGACTTAGTCGTCATCAATCCAACCCCATGAACCAAACGAATTCGAAAAATATCATGCCGGATCGGCCGTGGCCCGGATTAACAACGACCGCGCTTTCTGCTGCCGTGTCACAGGGCAGAAGTGATAAGTATACTACTGAGACACACCAGGCCGCGTGTGACCGGCCTCAAGCAGATGTCCCCTGGGCTCTGCGGTCACGCAACACTAACCTTTTTTCTATTTCAGGTACCCGAAGACTAAACTCAGGCGTGAGGCCAGCAACCCCACCCTGTAAACAAAGATGCTACAGAAACTTCAGCGTGAACAATCTCCTTGCGTCAAAAGAAAAAGTCTGTGTGGGGACATGGAATGTCCGCACCATGTACGAGACTGGCAAAGCTGCCCAGATCGCAAGCGAAATGAGGAGATACGGAATACAAGTATTGGGGATCTGCGAAAGCAGATGGAACGGAAACGGACTCACCAAATTGTCAACAGGTGAGTCAGTGATTTACTCCGGTCACCCAGAAGACAACCACACACACACCGAGGGCGTGGCTATCATGATGTCACCAACGGCAACCAAGGCTCTGATACAATGGGAGGCGATCTCACCCAGAATAATGACCGCCAGATTCAACTCCAAAGGAAGAAAAGTGTCAATTATACAGTGCTATGCACCCACAAACAACGCAGACCTCGAAAAGAAAGAAGAATTCTACAGACAACTACAGGCAGCAATAGACAATACTCCAGCTGGTGACATTAAAATACTAATGGGAGACATGAACGCCAAACTTGGACCAGACAACACAGGAAGGGAACTCATCATGGGTAAAGAAGCTCTGGGAGAGATGAATGAAAATGGAGAACTCTTCGCCGACTTCTGCGCCTTCAATGAACTAGTGATTGGTGGCAGCGTATACAAACACAAGGATATTCACAAGGCTACATGGGTGTCACCAGATGGGCGAACCAAAAACCAAATTGACTTCATCACAATCTCGAGGAAGTGGCGGCGCAGCCTACTGGACACAAAAGCAAGAAGAGGAGCAGACGTTGGCTCAGACCACTACCTCGTACAAGGAACAATCCAACTCAAATTAAAAGCTTTCAGAGAAACAGGAGCTGCAGATAGACCACAAGCCAAGTTCAACACTCAAAAACTAAAGGACCAGGATACAAAGGACATCTTTACTGCAAGCATAAAGGACAAAGCTGAGACACAAATCAACATTAGCGAAGAGGTCAGCGTCGAAAAACACTGGGACAACCTGAAAGCGGTATGGAGCGAAACCTGCATGGAAGTTCTGGGCAGAAAGAAGAGACAGGACAAACCGTGGCTCACTACGGACACTTGGAGGCTAATAGAAGAGAGAAGGATGGTGAAACAAAAGATTATCCAGTGCACCGACGAGCAACAGAAACAGGAGTTGAATGCAAGCTACAATACACTGAACAAAGGAGTAAAGAAGAGTGCCAGAGAAGACAAAAGAAAGTATTATGAAGCCATGGCCAATGAAGCAGAACAAGCAGCAGGCAAAGGAGACCTCGCAACACTCTACCAAACAACTAGGTACCTCTCAGGCAAAAATTCGTCACAAATTAAGCCAGTGAAGGATGACAATGGAAAGTCAATCACCAAAGAAGTGGAGCAAAGGAAACACTGGGCTGAACACTTCAAAAGACTACTAAACCGACCGCCACCTACAACGCGCCCAACAATACCAACAACGGAAGCAGAATTACCAGTGAACATCAACCCCCCGAGGAGAACAGAAGTCCTGAAGGCAATCAAGATGCTGAAAGCTGGAAAAGCAGCAGGACCAGATGGAATCCCAGCAGAGGCATTGAAAGTGGACCCAGAGACAACAGCGGACTTGATGACGCCACTACTGGAGAAGGTGTGGAAAGAAGGCAAAGTACCCGAGGATTGGAAGAAAGGATACTTATTCAAACTACCAAAGAAAGGAGACTTAAGTCAATGCAAGAACTGGCGCGGAATTATGCTCCTGTCCATCCCAAGCAAAATACTAAGCCGCATCATCCTGGAAAGGATCAAACAAGCCCTGGATGAAAAACTTCGACCGGAACAAGCTGGATTCAGGAGAAACAAGTCATGTATTGATCAAATCGCCACACTACGGATCATCATTGAACAAAGTTTGGAATGGCAGTCACCTCTCTATCTCAACTTCATCGACTTTGAAAAGGCCTTCGACAGCGTCGATCGAGAGGTGATTTGGCAACTACTTCGCTACTACGGGGTGCCGCCGACAATTATACATCTCATCCAACAGTTGTATGACAACGCTGCATGCCAAGTAATCCACAACGGGAAGCTCACGGAATCCTTCGAAGTGAAGACAGGAGTAAGACAGGGTTGCCTACTATCGCCAATGATTTTCCTGATTGCAGTAGATTGGATAATGCGACAGACAGCGGGCAATGAGGAAACAGGCATAAAATGGACTCACACAAAGAACTTGGAGGATCTGGACTTCGCCGATGATATATGTCTGATTTCCCACAAACTGGAAGATATGCAAGTGAAAAGTAACAAGTTGGCAGAAGAAGCATCAAAGATAGGACTCCAGGTGAACATAGAGAAAACGGAGGTGATGAAGATTCCTGGCCAACACCAACAGCCACAGCAACAACAACAGACAGCAATCAGCATAAATGGAAGGAACCTGAAAGAAACTACCTCCTTTACCTACTTGGGAAGCATTGTTTCAACTACAGGCGGAACTGACGAGGATATCAAAGCAAGGATCGGGAAAGCAAGGCAAGCTTTCATTACTCTCAAGTCTGTGTGGAGGTCAACAGCACTCAGCATCAAAAATAAGATCCGGATTTTCAACTCCAATGTGAAGTCAGTACTACTATACGGATCAGAGACTTGGCGTGTCACAAAGAGCACCTCAAACAAGCTACAGACCTTCATTAACAGATGTCTTCGCTCAATACTCAAGATCAGATGGCCGGAAAGGATCAGCAACAAAGATCTCTGGGAGCGAACCAACCAGGAACCGATTGTGAAACAAATAGGCAGGAAGAAATGGAGATGGATTGGCCACACTCTGAGGAAACCAGCAAGTGACATCACTAGACAAGCCATTGCTCGAGTGGAACCCGAAAGGGAAGCGACGAGTTGGTCGTCCAAGGGTGACCTGGAGGAGATCATGTGAAGAGGAAATGAAAGCGTATGGGCAGACTTGGAGCCAGGTGAAAACTCTAGCAGAGAACCGAACGCAATGGAGACGCATGGCTGAAGCCCTATGTTCCTCTAGGAACTAAAGGAAATAATAATAAATCATAATAATAATTAGTTCCATGCGTCTCCATTGCGTTCGGTTCTCTGCTAGAGTTTTCACCTGGCTCCAAGTTTGCCCACACGTTTTCATCTCCTCTTCACATGACCTCCTCCAAGTCACCCTTGGACGACCAACTCGCCGCTTCCCTTTCGGGTTCCACTCGAGCAATGGCTTGTCTAGTGATGTCACTTGATGGTTTCCTCAGAGTATGGCCAATCCATCTCCATTTCTTCCTGCCTATTTGTTTCACAATCGGTTCCTGGTTGGTTCGCTCCCAGAGATCTTTGTTGCTGATCCTTTCCGGCCATCTGATCTTGAGTATTGAGCGAAGACATCTGTTAATGAAGGTCTGTAGCTTGTTTGAGGTGCTCTTTGTGACACGCCAAGTCTCTGATCCGTATAGTAGTACTGACTTCACATTGGAGTTGAAAATCCCGATCTTATTTTTGACGCTGAATGCTGTTGACCTCCACACAGACTTGAGAGTAATGAAAGCTTGCCTTGCTTTCCCGATCCTTGCTTTGATATCCTCGTCAGTTCCGCCTGTAGTTGAAACAATGCTTCCCAGGTAGGTGAAGGAGGTAGTTTCTTTCAGGTTCCTTCCATTTATGCTGATTGCTGTCTGTTGTTGTTGCTGTGGTTGTTGGTGTTGGCCAGGAATCTTCATCACCTCCGTTTTCTCTATGTTCACCTGAAGTCCTATCTTTGATGCTTCTTCTGCCAACTTGTTACTTTTCACTTGCATATCTTCCAGTTTGTGGGAAATCAGACATATGTCATCGGCGAAGTCCAGATCCTCCAAGTTCTTTGTGTGAGTCCATTTTATGCCTGTTTCCTCATTGCCCGCTGTCTGTCGCATTATCCAATCTACTGCAATCAGGAAAATCATTGGCGATAGTAGGCAACCCTGTCTTACTCCTGTCTTCACTTCGAAGGATTCCGTGAGCTTCCCGTTGTGGATTACTTGGCATGCAGCGTTGTCATACAACTGTTGGATGAGATGTATAATTGTTGGCGGCACCCCGTAGTAGCGAAGTAGTTCCCAAATCACCTCTCGATCGACGCTGTCGAAGGCCTTTTCAAAGTCGATGAAGTTGAGATAGAGAGGTGACTGCCATTCCAAACTTTGTTCAATGATGATCCGTAGTGTGGCGATTTGATCAATACATGACTTGTTTCTCCTGAATCCAGCTTGTTCCGGTCGAAGTTTTTCATCCAGGGCTTGTTTGATCCTTTCCAGGATGATGCGGCTTAGTATTTTGCTTGGGATGGACAGGAGCATAATTCCGCGCCAGTTCTTGCATTGACTTAGGTCTCCTTTCTTTGGTAGTTTGAATAAGTATCCTTTCTTCCAATCCTCGGGTACTTCGCCTTCTTTCCACACCTTCTCCAGTAGTGGCGTCATCAAGTCCGCTGTTGTCTCTGGGTCCACTTTCAATGCCTCTGCTGGGATTCCATCTGGTCCTGCTGCTTTTCCAGCTTTCAGCATCTTGATTGCCTTCAGGACTTCTGTTCTCCTCGGGGGGTTGATGTTCACTGGTAATTCTGCTTCCGTTGTTGGTATTATTGGGCGCGTTGTAGGTGGCGGTCGGTTTAGTAGTCTTTTGAAGTGTTCAGCCCACTGTTTCCTTTGCTCCACTTCTTTGGTGATTGACTTTCCATTGTCATCCTTCACTGGCTTAATTTGTGACGAATTTTTGCCTGAGAGGTACCTAGTTGTTTGGTAGAGTGTTGCGAGGTCTCCTTTGCCTGCTGCTTGTTCTGCTTCATTGGCCATGGCTTCATAATACTTTCTTTTGTCTTCTCTGGCACTCTTCTTTACTCTTTTGTTCAGTGTATTGTAGCTTGCATTCAACTCCTGTTTCTGTTGCTCGTCGGTGCACTGGATAATCTTTTGTTTCACCATCCTTCTCTCTTCTATTAGCCTCCAAGTGTCCGTAGTGAGCCACGGTTTGTCCTGTCTCTTCTTTCTGCCCAGAACTTCCATGCAGGTTTCGCTCCATACCGCTTTCAGGTTGTCCCAGTGTTTTTCGACGCTGACCTCTTCGCTAATGTTGATTTGTGTCTCAGCTTTGTCTTTTATGCTTGCAGTAAAGATGTCCTTTGTATCCTGGTCCTTTAGTTTTTGAGTGTTGAACTTGGCTTGTGGTCTATCTGCAGCTCCTGTTTCTCTGAAAGCTTTTAATTTGAGTTGGATTGTTCCTTGTACGAGGTAGTGGTCTGAGCCAACGTCTGCTCCTCTTCTTGCTTTTGTGTCCAGTAGGCTGCGCCGCCACTTCCTCGAGATTGTGATGAAGTCAAATTGGTTTTTGGTTCGCCCATCTGGTGACACCCATGTAGCCTTGTGAATATCCTTGTGTTTGTATACGCTGCCACCAATCACTAGTTCATTGAAGGCGCAGAAGTCGGCGAAGAGTTCTCCATTTTCATTCATCTCTCCCAGAGCTTCTTTACCCATGATGAGTTCCCTTCCTGTGTTGTCTGGTCCAAGTTTGGCGTTCATGTCTCCCATTAGTATTTTAATGTCACCAGCTGGAGTATTGTCTATTGCTGCCTGTAGTTGTCTGTAGAATTCTTCTTTCTTTTCGAGGTCTGCGTTGTTTGTGGGTGCATAGCACTGTATAATTGACACTTTTCTTCCTTTGGAGTTGAATCTGGCGGTCATTATTCTGGGTGAGATCGCCTCCCATTGTATCAGAGCCTTGGTTGCCGTTGGTGACATCATGATAGCCACGCCCTCGGTGTGTGTGTGGTTGTCTTCTGGGTGACCGGAGTAAATCACTGACTCACCTGTTGACAATTTGGTGAGTCCGTTTCCGTTCCATCTGCTTTCGCAGATCCCCAATACTTGTATTCCGTATCTCCTCATTTCGCTTGCGATCTGGGCAGCTTTGCCAGTCTCGTACATGGTGCGGACATTCCATGTCCCCACACAGACGTTTTTTTTTGACGCAAGGAGATTGTTCCCGCTGAAGTTTCTGTAGCATCTTTGTTTTCAGGGTGGGGTTGCTGGTCCCAAGCCTGAGTTTAGTCTTCGGGTACCTGAAATAGAAAAAAGGTTAGTGTTGCGTGACCGCAGAGCCCAGGGGACATCTGCTTGAGGCCGGTCACACGCGGCCTGGTGTGTCTCAGTAGTATACTTATCACTTCTGCCCTGTGACACGGCAGCAGAAAGCGCGGTCGTTGTTGATCCGGGCCACGGCCGATCCGGCATGATATTTTTCGAATTCGTTTGGTTCATGGGGTTGGATTGATGACGACTAAGTCCAGCCCCCACTGATACCGTCGCCAATGTATCAGTAGGTTGTGAGGTTTGACAAATTTGGTTGGCACCCGCTGCTACTATCAACGGAGCTACGCTAAGAACGGTGTGACGACCCAAGTTATCTCCTACTGATACCGTCGTCGAAGTCATATCAGTAGAAGTCCGGTTGAGCTGACGGTCAGCCTTGGTTTCCTTATTATTTTGAGCGGGCAAAGTTTGGTTTCGACCGTGTTGGTACACTCACCGGGGCCGCGGTATGCCTCTGGGTGAGAGTGGGATGCACATTTTTTGGGGCCGACCTTTTCTAACCCCCCCTTTCCGAGAAAGGCAGCATGGGGCGCGCCCAGAACCGTGTACCACGGCCTGAACTCATGCTGGTCGCTCGAGGAGAACACCTTACTGCCGCCACGTCCCCTACTGCCCCGGCAATACGACTACTTTCTCGGACCAATGATTTACACCCGCTCATATATCTTAAAATGGCACCTCGGGGGGTGTAGCCTTGGGCCATTTTCCAAAAGTACGAAACCGTACCCGTTCATGTCGAACCGGTTAAATTTCCTAACCTCGCTACCATGTGCTTTGTATCCCTAGTGGATGAGAGAGAGAACTACAACTAATCTTACCTTACTATTCCGTTACCATGATGTATCGGTGAGGCGGTGAAGTGATGATACCTGCTGTCAAGCGATCGTCAAGTTTCAGCTCCCCGTTGCCGATAACATCGTGGATGAAATGAACGAGCATGTTCACCCTAAGAAACGCTAAAATAGGAGGATAACTGCTGAACTTAAAGAAGCCATAGCTCCGCAACCGTAAGTCATACAGGGACGAGACAGGTGCCAATCGATTCGTCTCGTCGAGAGGAATCCAATGGTATATAAATCAGAGGGTAAAAGCTATTCCTAAGAAAAATACGAGGATTTTCCTGCCTAGCAGTCTCCGCCCCCCTGCCGCCCTATGGTTGGTAATGCCCCCTAGCTACATACACAACGGCATACAACCTGAGGTCGCGGAGCTAAAAATGTCAAGAGAACAGCCAGCGGCATGAACTCTAGGCCTAGAAACAGGTTTCCCCTGTAGCCTTTGAGAAAATTCCCTATTCGGCTGAGGAGAAGCTATAAGGTGCGACACCGGTACCAATGGGTAGATCTCGTCGAGAGCTATCCATTGATATATAGCTTCCCTGAGTCCTAGCCTCCCTAAGAAAATTTAGGCAGCATAGTCCCTAAGGGCACTAGCCCACCCTATTCGGCTGAGGAGAAGTTATAAAACTCGAAACCAATGACAAAGGATAGGTCGCTGTGAGAGCCATCGATTGATATATAACTTCACCTAAGTCCTAGCCTCCCTGGAAAACTTTTGGCAGCATAACCCCAGAGGGCGCAAGCCCAGATATCAAAGATCCTGAGGAAGGCTGAGGAGAGGCTGCAAAGGTCGAAACCAATGTCAGAGGATAGGTCTCGTCGAGAGCTATCGATTGATATATAGCTTTCCTATGCCAGGGCATCCCTAAACAAACTATGACCGTATGGTCCCTAAATGCCCCAGCATAGTAAACATGAAGCTAAAGCCTAGCCTAAACATGAAAACTACTAATAAAAATAATATAAAAATAAAGTAAACTTACCAAATAATTCCATTTGATGAGGATTGGATGCCATCATAGGCCTCCAAGTGACAGGGGCTGGCCGTAGAAATAAATGGGTATTTTTCGTGATTTAATATAATTACTGTTGTACAGCTCATAAAAATGAATCGTCGAGAAGATAATTTTCTTCTCTGTTTGTGCCTTTTTCTTATGACTCAATATGGGATTATTATTATTATTATTGATTATGATAATAGTGTAACAACAGAAGACAAGGGCCAGGCAACAGAACGTTTATTACGGAAAATCAACACATATTTATACATTTTGATGTACATTATTGTAGATTAATGTTAGTAGAAAATACAGTCTGTTGATTGGTTGTTTCTCACACACACAAAGTTAACCTTGCATCTCTTTGTGGTTGTGTCAGTTCATCTATCTGTTAACTGTATCCGCCTGTCCATCTTGACCTTGTTTTCACATGACTAACATTGACCTCAATTACTGTCACAACCAATTTGGCTAGCAACCATCTCTCACCACAATAGTACTTTATATTTGTCTCTTTACCCTTCTTCCCCACCCACTGTATCTAGATATAATAAAACTGAAGGCATAGAAAAGGATTTCAACGCGTTGAACACATCAAACTTTACCCATTTGATCTCAGAAATATCATCCATTGAAGAAGACGACGAAGAAGTAAATCAGAAGCCGCTGTCATCTTCTTTTAAACGGCTCTACCAAGTGAATTCTTTCAATGGGATACAATTTCATGCCAATTGGAACCTATACAACCTGCTTGAATTCAAAAGTGTTCCACGACTGTTTATCTATGAAAGAATAAATTTCACCAGAACTTAAATTTTTCTATCTGGTGAGATCATATTGTGTAACCTTTTCTTATGGAGGGTAATATTTTGTTAAATATATAAATTTTTTTTACAGGATTAATAAATTTTGTTATTGTTGTTATTCCTTTACCTTCCCAGTGTAACATAAGGGGGCGGCTTTAAGCCTCTTGAGCTATGTATGAAGTTTCGGTAGCGGTGGTGTTTATTTTTTTACGGGATGGGGTGGGGTTGGTTGCTAGCCTCATGCCCCAACCTTCCCTCCTCACCAGTCCTGTTATCGGCTTAGTGAGGTAAGGGAGTACGTCTGTGCCCGGGGATCGAACCCCGAGCCACTTGTGGTGTGGTTGGCGAGCATTCTACCGGTGTGTGTCACTAACGCACAGGATTAATAATAGCGCAGCTGTAAAGTCAAAAGTGACGAGTTAGGATACATCCGAAATACGCTGATCCAAATGGGTTATCCTAGTAGATTTGTAAGGAGACACATGAACACCAGGTACAATAAAGAGAAACTGATAACAGTTAAAAAGAAACAACCGTTCCTGAAATTGCAATTTAATGGGGACGTGATTAGCAAAGTCCTACATCTAAGATTATCGAGAGCAATAAAACGGACTTATAATGTTAGCAACCTTTGTTTGTCATTTTCCAGCTACCGACCAATTTTGATTGCTCAAGTGAAAGATAAGCTACCTAGCTGTGCCACTTCTATGTGTATCTATAAATTTAGTTGCTCCTGTGGAGAGAGCTCGCTATATAGGGCGAACAACTAGACAGACAGCTTAACAAACGCATTAATGAGCATCTTCCTTCATGGTTCGGAAAAGGTCAAATAAAATCTATAAGAAGTTCTATTTTGGCTCATTTGATTGATAGCGGTCACCAAGTGGAGAAAAATAGTGCCTTCAAAGTTATCTATCGTATTCCATCGAGCCTTTCGAACTGAATTTGAACCCGCCTTTTGCATATAGTCGAACTATGGGAATTAATTCGAGATAACAATCCTAGTGTCTTTGCATACGACAAAAGAAGTTTGTTCTACCTTTGTCTCTCCCTTGCTTGCCTAGGTGATTTCTATTCAAAACCCTCCCAACCCTTTCTCATTTTCCATTTCCTTCGTACTTTTATGATATTTATTTAAACTCTGATTATTTGTCCACTTCACCTACCTTTAGTATTACGTAACTTTCAAGATTTGACCTAATTTATTTATTGAATTGTCTACAAATGCACATGTTACTACTTTTGTTATTCTTATCGCCACCTGCATAAACCTTATTATCAATATTTTGTTATCATTATAATCATCGTTATTAATGACGTTTAAAACATCTACCACGTTATTATTATTATTATTGACCCACAAACTCGCCGTCATTGGTTAAATCCTTTTTTATATATAAAGAGCTATGTAAATTAGAGTAAAGTCTGAAGAAGATCTAATTGAAAACGGCGATATTGCTCGCTTATATGTCTAGTTCTAATATTAAAGCCAAAAGTGTACAGAAAGGGTAAAATTAATGTTAATAGCTAGAAGTATATGTTAATTGAAATGGTGTCCTCATAGATTATCAATAGGAGAGGATAATAATAATTATTATTGTATCCTTTAATTCCTAGAGGAACATAGGGCTTCAGCCGTGCGTCTCCATTGAGTTCGGTTCACTGCTAGAGTCTTCACCTGGCTCCAAATCTGCCCACATGCTTTCATCTCCTCTTCACATGACCTCCTCCAAGTCACCCTCGCACTGACGACCAACTCGCCGCTTCCCTTTCGGGTTCCACTCGAGCAATGGCTTGTCTAGTGATGTCACTTGATGGTTTCCTCAGAGTATGGCCAATCCATCTCCATTTCCTTCTGCATATTTGTTTCACAATCGGTTCCTGGTTGGTTCGCTCAATGCCAGAGATCTCTGTTGCTGATCTTTTCTGGCCATCTGATCTTGAGTATTGAGCGAAGACAACTGTTAATGAAGGTCTGTAGTTTGTTTGAGATGCTCTTTATGACGCGCAGTGCAAGTCTCTGATCCGTATAGTAGTACTGACTTCACATTGGAGTTGAAAATCCGGATCTTATTTTTGATGCTGAGTGCTGTTGACCTCCACACAGACTTGAGAGTAGTGAAAGCTTGTCTTGCTTTTCCGATTCTTGCTTTGATATCCTCGTCAGTTCCGCCTGTAGTTGAAACGATGCTTCCCAGGTAGGTAAAAGAGGTTGTTTCTTTCAGGTTCCTTCCATTTATGCTGATTGTTGTCTGTTGTTGTTGCTGCTGTTGGTGGTGGCCAGGAATCTTCATCACCTCTGTCTTCTCTATGTTCACCTGAAGTAGGAGAGGATAAAGGAGTCATTTATTTTGCTACATAACATAGTCAGTTGTAAGTTTCATGCTTAAAACTTTCTCTATCATCACATAGAACGTGGGTGGGCTGAATAGGGTATCGTTGAGTTTCTGTACTTGGTTGTACGTGCATATAATCTTAAATTATAATGAATACTTGTCCTACCAGATGAAACTCAAGGTGGGGGGGGGGGGGATTTGTGAACAGAGAGAGAGAGTGAAGTGTTGAGAGTTAGACAATATGGATTTAGATCATTTTCCACATGAGTTCAGGTGTCTGTCGACTACAGTAGTAATGAGTTGGTTGACTGAGTGGCACACACCACTTGTTCTACTGTACCATCAATGTGGAACGAAGCCGTTGTCGTCCCCATCTTTACAAAGGGTCGACGTAATTCGTGTGAAAATCATAGGGGTATCAGTCTGCTACCAGTCGCGTCTAAAATATTGGCTTCTGTCTTGCTTCGCAGGCTGTGCAAAATACGTGAAGTATTGATTCGCGAAGAGCAGGTTGGGTTTCGTTCAAGTCGTGGATGCATTGATCATGTGTTCACCCTTTGTCAGTTGTTGGAACACCGCCACACCTACTACAGGCCAACAATCGTTGTGTTTCTTGATATTATGGCTGCCTTCGATTCGTTGGACAGAACTGTGCTCTGGAACTGTCTGTTAGAGAGAGGTGTACCTGAGAAGTTTGTTAACATCTTGAAAGCCCTATACAGAAACACTTCAGTTAGAGTGAGGGCATACAACCAACTATCATCACTATTCCCAACCAACAGTGGGGTTAGACGGGGTTGCTCGATCTCTTCATTTCTCTTTAACTTTGCCATCGATGACATTCTGGAGTCAGCTGTGAAGGATGTACGTGAAGGTGGTGTAGATCTGCTCCCTGGAGAAATACTTTTCGACCTCAAGTATGCAGACGATATCGTCTTACTGTGCGATAGCGTGCAGGCTGCCCAAATCGCACTTAATCAGTTGGCGATCAGTGTCTATAAGTATGGTATGTGCTTTGCACCGTCTTAGTGCAAAGTACTGTTACAAGATTGGCAGGAGCCTGTACCTGCACTCACTCTTGCAGGTGAACTGCTTGAAGTTGTCGATAAGTTTGTGTGTCTGGGTAGTTGTGTGAGTTCTGGCGGAAGGGTGACGGATGAGATTTCATGAAGTCTAGTGCGGCATACATCAACTTGAGCCACCTCTGGCGCCGTTGCGACGTTAGCCTAGCTGTCAAAGGTCGGGTACACAATGCCTCGGTGCCGGCTGTTTCGCTCTACGCCTGTGAAACCTGGCCTCTTCGAGCTGAGGATGTGCGGCGGCTCTGCGTATTCGATCATCGCTGTCTCCGCAGGATTGTTTGCGTTCGACGGCATCATCGCGTTGAGTAATTCTGAGGTTCGACGGTGTGTGTTTGAACACAGTGGAGATCACCATTCATTGAGTGTCGTCATCTGGAAACACCGGCTCCGGTGGCTTGGACATGTGCTGCGAATGTCATCCCAGAGGCTTCCGTACAGGTCTCTGTTCGCTAGCCCTGGGACGGGATAGAAAAGGCGGAGAGGTGGTAAGTCCATGACGTGGCATAGTGGGATGAAGGATATTTGTGCTAGGTTAGCATTGGTTGGTGCGTCACGATTCCCTGGTTGGGGTCCGCGAGATAGCCGGAATCGATGGCTTGAAACGTTATCAGATATGGCTAAGAATCGCAGTCATCAATGACGAACGCGTTGCAATTTACTTTCTTCCCTTCCTGATGATAGTTAACGAATACTGTTTGAACTTGTTAAACATGACTGGTTTCCTTCCAGATGAAGTTCCTTATCCGTTCTCTACCTATATTTTTGCTTTTAATCTATGCTGTTCTATTATTATTGTGTGGCGCATCTTTCTTGGTGCCATATTGTACCAAGTTTTTTCTGCGTTTAAATAAATATAAATAAATAAACCTTTAATATCCATCACAATACGCCATATTCCCTTTTTAGTAACCCAGTAGGAAAGACTAAGGGGTAGGGAACAGTAAAGTACAATAGGTAAGATGCAAGAGTTAACGAAATGTGTAGAAGTAGAGGTTGAGTGATTCCTGATTGTCTTAACTTCTCAATATAGAAAGTTAGACAGGATATTTCCTTAGAAATCGACAAGATATGGGATGACCAACCAAGAACCGTCAGAGGAAAGAACTATTCCAAAGTATTTAATGTGCTTCACCTAGTTTCTATTTCAGTGCCGTTCTATGCTTCAAGCATCTCGTGAACGAAGACGTTCGTGTAGATCACGTTCATGCTTGATGGTGAAGTCAATAGTCTGACATTTAGGGTGATTTAAGATAAGACCATTTAGCTTAGACCAATGACTGATGTCGGACAAAAAGCTATCAAGAGTTTGAAACATTCAGATTGGGACGAAATTGGTAGCGAGACAGTAAGATCATCAGAGTGTTTAACAAAGTTGATTCCATCCGAAAGAGGTAAGTCATGCAAGAAGAAAGGTAAAGAAGAGAGTGTGTGAGAGAGAGAACAGCACCTCGAGGGACTCCAGCTTCAGTTATCAAGCAATTCAGAGGAAGATTCGCCTTCATATACAGCATACTACATTCTTCATGAGGTGACATTAGTTAGAGAACCATTGGAAAACCTGAGAGTACTGGGCAGCTGTTTCGTCCTAGTTTGGGACTCTTCATCAGTACGCAGCCACCGGGGTCGTATACCATTCAGCCACTGGAACCCGATC